TCTTTCCCTCCCCATATCTGGCTCCCTCATATCTTTCCCTCCCCCTCTGCCTCTCTCCTTCTCTCAAATAAATAAACACAATCTAAAAAAAAATCATATTCCAAGGTGGAAGCCTGAAATTGACCTTGTTATGTCATATTCTTCTCTCCCAACTAGAGTAATAGAAGGATACCTAATACTGTCCCACTGGAATTTAATATTTCCTCAAGATATATATTTTAGGAAGAGGAGATGAATGTGTAATAGCCAACCCGTACACAAATAAATGAATTTGATCCAAGTTTTTAGATAATTATATTAGTTAATTTGTCTATTATAAATTTAAGACAGGTAGTTTGGTGACTTGACCAAATGATTTAATCGATGCCTCCCTGTCACTTTTCAGCCCATTTTCTAGTTTTGTCCTATAATTTCCCTCCTTTTCTTTTCTGTCCCTTAAGTTTTCCTCTGTCTTACTTACTTTAGCATTCCATTCCTGAGAAAGGTTCAGAAGCTGACAAACTGAGCCCTTTCCTCCCTGAGATCCCAGTGAAATAAAAATGTACAAGTACCACAAACAAACATAGTCATACCTGATGAAAATAAGGTAGATGTCAGTGGATAAGAGAGTTAAAAAGAACGGTCTCACGATACACTGTGGAAGGGAGGGGAGTGAAGGATGAAACAGGGAGAGCAAGCCACAGTACTGGAGCAGTTGAGGACACTCTTCCAGTAGAAACCCTGGAGTCATTCATTGCTCGCCATCCACAGGGTTAAAAAGGAGCAAGGAAATGAGGACGTTGGCTGAAAATAAGAGGAAAAAAATAAAGTCTGAACATGATAAATTTAACCACTCAACCGCCTATTTAACGCCCTCACCTCTAGGCAGGGAGCAGGTGCAGGAAGGAATACTTTAAACCATAACTCTTTCTTAAAGACTTCGAATGAACGTTCAACAGATAGTTTACCCTCCAGTGCACAGGTTGGTACCTCAGGCCTGGCTTCTTCTAGCATAGAGGGCACAGCTGGATAGCTGGCTCCCTATTTTGTCACCCTAAAAGAAACTCAAGGAAACAGGACTTGCCCATTTTATCCAGAGCTTTGGAAATTCTTACCCAAGGAGGAAACTTGGAGAAAAGTTCCATTTAGATAACAATAGAGGAAACTCACGCAAGAGATCCAGTCTTTCTTTCTTACAGATGAACTGACATCTTTAGGATTGATGCTGATGGTCCCTTATTATCCACCCTTTCTTATTTTCCATAATTGTAGGATCTTGACTTTAAGCAAATCATAAAGCTACTCAGAGTAAAGATCATATTTTCAATTGCCCTCTAAGCTAAAGGTGGCATTGTGATGAAGTCCTTGCCAGTGGTATGTGTAGCAAGAAGGGATATGTTCATCTTTTTGGAGAGAGCATGCCATCATTCCCCTATGCATCCTTCCTTCAGATAAAATACAGATATAAGCTTGGAAAGGGCCATTGTGGACAACGAGTGACCTTAGGAGTGGTAACCATATATAGTGGAGCGGCAAGACAAAAAGAACTGAGAATCAGTGGAGTGCCATTCCAATTCTGTAATTTTTTTCTGTCCCTGGAAGCTAATTATATAATGCTAACTAATATAGCAATAAAGAACATAAAGCTACATAAAAGAGAAACATCAACATTAATAGAAAAAAATAATTTTCTAGAGAAAAAAATAATTTAGAGAAAACAGGACAAAACTAATGCATATATTTAGAAATAATTGTACATCCATAAAAACCTAATACATCCACGAAAGAATAAACTTTAAAAAGCTGGCAAAGGCTAAAAAATATGACTTCTTGCACCCACAAGAAAATCAATAAAATACTGAAAAAAAATACCATCCAAAATGTCCAAATTTTAGAACAAAAAAGCAAAGAGAATGAAAGTGGGGAAAAAAGGAATAAAAAAGACAGATTTAGGTCTACATTTAATAAGCAAGAATCATAGAAAAAGAGAAAATGAAATAATTTTTTAAAAATAGAAAACAGTTATCTAGATTGGAGGAAGAATGTGAATACTCAGCTGACCATTTCTATTAGAGAGCCCCCTGAAATTTTGAGGACAGAAAGAATTTTTAAAAAATCCAAAAAATGCCTGAGTTGAAGAAAAAAACAGGTCTGGGATAATCATTACGATCATTCACAGAGATCTGGTTCTTCTTTCATGGTAAGATCAAAGTAATCTGTTCCCTTAAAATTGAGCATGGCCATGTGACTTGTGACCAATGACATAGGAGAGGAAATGATGGATATAATTTTGGACGGAGCCTTTAAAAGCTAATATGAAGTTTGCGCTCTTCTTCTCTCCGTCACAAACCAGCAGAGCTTTGGGCAAGAGGGTAATAATCCTCTCAGCATGGGTTCTGCTGTTGAAGATAGTATGGAGAAAACAAAACCCAAGGCTGACTGGGGATGGTTACGAGTTGTAATCAGGAGATAAACTTTATCATTTTAGGTTACAGACATCTGGGGTCATCACTGCAGACACAGATCTTATCACAAGATCTCATCAAAAGAATGAAAACTGGCACTAGACTTCTCATGATTAACACTGGATACTAGGGGGAAAAAATCAATACCTTCTAAACTGAGGAAATGATAGTTAACCTAAAATGCCCAATGCTGCCAAATGACCACAGGCAAAATAAGTACATTTGCAGACATGAAAGAATTCAAAAACTTTACCTCATATATCCTTTCTTTGGATATTCCTTGGGGATGTGTTCAGTAAAGCATGATTCAGAGTAATTTTCATCGTGGAAGATTGTAATAATTGGGATGATTGAAGTGATGATTGAGATATCAGAAACACTTTGGGAAAAATTGTGGGGAGAGTAGTTAAGATGTACTGGTTTCCCCTAAATGATTGTCATTTGCTTCTTTGTGTGCTGAGGTATTCTGAAAACCTTTTCTCCAGAGCAAAGATCAGAAGGGAGCACTCTAGATCTTATTAAGTTAGTATTAGCATTCAAGCTATAACTGTATCCTCTCCCACCGCACCAACTCTAGTGGGGGTGGGAGAGGAAGCAGTGAGAAGAATTACATATGGAAGAAACAGCTCGAGGAGCCTCTAGCCATCCTGTCAGTCATTCCGTTAATTCGATAAACATTTTTGATCATACGCTATATGCTAATCCCTATACAATTCCAGGGAATTCAGAGAAAAATAAAACAATCTCTGCTTTCAAAAAGCTCACAGTCTTTCAGGAGAGATTAGCTCCTATAAACCAAGAACCATGCTAAGTGATACCCATTTCATAAAATTGATCTAAGAGGAAGGAGTAGAGAGGGGGAGACATCAATTCTGTGTGATGAAAGGTGGGGTGCTCTAGAGTCCTGAACATTTTCAGAAGGCCCTGAGTTTACAAAGTTGCAGCTGAAGCTGGCATCCTCTGGTTGTGGGAAATAATCACGTTGCTTTTTCACTGAAGCCAATTTGAGGTTTTTCTGTCACTTGCAAACAAAGTTCTCTAACTGAATTCCCTAGCTCTAGGAAATATTATACCAAGCAGAAGGAGAAAGAGAATTAGTCAAAGAACTGCCAATGAAAAAGCAGCAGGCAGAAGGAATAATGCAAAGAAGCAAGAAAAAGCCACCCAGAAAGCCAAACTAGGGGGAGCCTCATGTGAGAACGAAGGTGCATGGAATTCACAAACCCTAAACAAGCAAGGCAGCAAGAACAGTAACAGAATTCACAGAGGTCACAGTGGAGCTGTGTTAAGGTGATGTTTGAAAACTGGGAGCTGAATTCATGAGCTAGAACAGGCCTTACTGCTGTGGGGGGTCATGTGGAGCCTAGTTATGGGTCGTCATAGTGATCGGTTGCATGGATGATGTAACCTTCCTTGGTGGGAATAATTTCATATGTTGGTGCAGCAAATTAGATGTTGGAATGAAAAGTGGGGTTGTGGTTATGTTTGTACTCCAAACAGAATCAGTTTGTGGCTAATAGAATGATTTGTGTGAGCAATATTGCTGGTCACTTTCTTATGGTGTGTGACAGCAGGAACTGAATAAAAACCTCACTTTCCAGCACATCTGTATTTGGAGAAGTAATAAGCAACAATCCTTCCTCTCTTGCCCTCTATACATATGAGGGAATGGGCAAGAAAGCTCACTTCCTTCCAGTTCCAAGTGAAAGATGGGACGAAATGATGGGTTGAGATTAATAGGCTGATATTTAGTCAATGTAAATATAAAAACCGAGTTTCGGGTAAGAATTTTAAAAGTAATAGTAAGACAGAAAGTAATGCAGGAAGACTCTATGCAAGAGATCTTGAATTTTTAGCTCACCACAACTCAAAATTGGGTTATCCTGCTGGAGACAGAATTGGGAAAAGTATCTATGGAGGGCAGGGAAAAGATGGGTCTGACTGCAACAGAGGCTGAGATAGGAGGAAATGAATGACTTTCCTTAGCTGCATAAAGTGGCATCAAGCCCCTGGGGTAACAAAGCCAAGCTGAGCGCTTTTCCATCAGCACCGTAGACAGCAGGGAAATGTAGCCAAATACTAATGAGGCGCCGTGAAGGAAATGATTCAGGATGACAAGCTGGAAACCTTTGGGTCAGTTGAACTAATTTCTGAAAGCGGTCTAACTTCTGAACGCTGCCCGGTTTGAAAAGCCTGCTAGGTATGGAGGCCGCGCTCAGCCCTCAGGTGGCTCCATCCCGCTAGGCTCCGCCCCCGCGCCCGAAGAATCTGGAGCTGTCCCAATCCCGAGCCCCGGTTTAGCCTAGCCACGCCCCCTGGCCTGCCCCGCCCCCTCGGTAACCCGGACGACGCTCCCGCGTCCCCCTCTAGGCGCCTGGTTCCCGCACCCCTGCGGGAGGAGCGGGTAGCACCGGCGCCCGGCATTGCCGCGGGTGGGGGACACACTTCGGCGGAACGGAAAACCAGAATTGTTCCACGGGCCAGTCCACCGAGGTTCGTGACGGCAGGGGCGAAGCTCGGGGCAGGACTTTCACAGCTCGTGGGAGAGGCGGGCCGTTCTCCCGGCAGTCTCGTGCCTTCTGTGACCCCGGCAGACCTTCCTCCCCAAGTCCGTGGACTCCGGCTCTAGCTTCGAGAGCAGAGGCCCTCGCCATTTATCTCAAGAAGCGAATAGAAGTAGGACCCGGGATGGGCGCTTTTCCTGCTTCCCAGTTCACGTGACCCTCTGAGGGCGGTGGGAAAATAAACAGGCGGAGGAGTAAGTTACTAGTCCTGTCTAGGGTTAGGTAGGCGCAGACAGGGAACTGAGATGCCCTCGGTTTGCGTAAAGTTAACTTCATGTCTCATAAGAGACATGAGATCAGATTGTTATCCCTGAGGTCTCATTTGTATTGAAATAGACCAATACATATACCTAATTCGGATGTACTGGAATTTCACTGAATTAGTGATTAGTTTCTCCTGTAGCGATTGCACTTTGAACTAAAAAAAAAAAAAAAAAAAAAAAAGTACATGTAAACACATTGGAGGTACTTGATATTATTTGTATGAAGGAATCTTATTTCACAATTTGGGACAGGAAGAAAAGTTATTCTATTAGCTAATTTTTAACTTTTTTCTTCTCTCCTTTGCTACTATTATTGTTCCTGATTTTCAGGCTGAAGTCCATAAGCCTTGGAGAGACCTTCAGCAGTAATCTCTAAAAGTAGGTGAACTGAACACGCCCTGCTTTCAACACTTTCCCTGCTTTATATTTTGATTTAACCATCAATATATATCAGTTAGTAGAAAATGTATGATTTCTATTTATTTTACTTACCCACCTAATTACCTACCACTGTGTGCTAAAAGCGTCTAAAAATTATGATTCGAGGGATAAACGTTTAGCGACTCTTTAAACTTCTTTATGTGATTCTTTTAGTCTTTCAGGATTATAATTATTGATATTTCTTCTGTAGTTTCTTTAATCTTTCATAGTAAAAGAGCTTATGGTGGTAATGTGAGAAGTTCTACTTCTTATAAGTGATTTCATTGGTGATAGCAAAATCATTTATTTTGAGCTCTCCTGATGACAAATAATAAATATGTCTCTTGTGGTTTATTGGCTTTCTTATATTCCACAGTGATTGAATTCTAGAGAGAGTAGTCAGCCTTGGACATAGTCACTCCCCAAGTAGCCTCTGTCTATACAGTGCAAGACCTACCCCTTCTTCTGTGTTTCCTGATGAGGATATCTCTGAGGATAGTGGGTGGGAGGATTACTCTTTGAAGAATTTTACTTGGGGGCCAGAAATTTAAACTCTCACCATGCGACACATACAGCCTGACCCAGCATTCTTAAACCTTTCATCCTGTATTTCTCCATTCTCATTTGTCTTTGCATGTGGGGGCCAAACCGTGATACAAGAGCCAACCAGAAGATCAAAGAATCCACCAAATCTCTTCTGAATACCAACAGTGAAATGGCTTCAGGCAGCCTTTTGATCTTCAGCTCAGCATTCTTGGTGCCACATGTAGTGCCGCCCACTTGCTGGTACTGGGGGTGCTGCCTCTGGGTCCTCTTCACAGACTGCTTCCCCCTCAGCTCCTGGGGAAAAGCTGGTTTTGGTGCCAGCCAGAGAGGTGCCTCCCATTCTCCTGGCTCTGAACCCTTCTTGCGTTCCTTCAGTAGCTCCCATCTTGTGTGATTTCCTCTGTGGTCTTGAGCCAGGAGAACCCTGATGTAGTGCCATTGTAGAGGATGTGTTCCATTTCTGCTTCAGGCCTACGACAGTCACCCCAAAGCATTAATCCCATTTCCCAAGTGGGAGCTCACCTAGGACCTGGGAACACTGCCTGGCTAACACCAGGGAAGTGATACAACTCATATTAACGAAGAGCAAAAGGCTTTCTTTACTCTATAGGTATAATTGAAGTCTAAAATGACAGGCCCCTAAGCATGCTTGCATTTTTTTCTCACCTATTTCCTCTTGACTGCTTCTGTATGCTAGAATGCACCAGCTTCCTACTTTAAGAAAATTCAGCGTAAGAATGAACTTATAAAAAGAGATGGTGATTACTTAGATTAAAAAAAAAATCGTTGCAAGAACCTTTAAATATTTGATGCATTTCAAATATTATGTGCCATAACATTCAGCTTACACATTACCTATCGTGTAAAACAAAATACCTTTATGTGGCCACGTAGCGATTGTGAAAGACAAAATCCCTTTTTCCAACGGGCATAAGCAAGGTAGGATGTGGGGTTTAAAGCAGGGAAGGAGCCTGCTCAACTTCTACCCTAACTCAGAGCTTAAACTTTCCAACATAGATTGGTTGGGTGCTATTTATTCCAACACTCAGTTAATAACTTTTTTTTTTTCCACTTTATCATTCAGCTCTGACCACCCCCCACTCAGAGTTCGTGCCTTGAGGCTTGCCAGCAGGGCTTGCAATACTTACATTAAACTAAATTTAAGAGTAAAGGTGCTCCTGCTGCTCATGTTCTCAGATCAGAGGAGAGCAAAATGAAGGAACTGGCAGCTGAAACTTTAATGGTAGGAAACGACTCAGATATTGAAAAAACATCACAGTTCATATGTGTGACAAAGAAGACATGTTCCTCTCCATGTATAACATTTGCATTTGATTTCATTAGATGCTTATATTTTCTAGCAAAAGTTGTCTAACCCAATTAATCGTCAAAAAGGATAAATTTTACATCACATATTGGTAGCCCAACTTTGGGGGAGGGGCTTTTATACACCTTGTTGGCTGGATTCAGCTCTAGAGTTTGGTCTTTCTTTCTGTCTATAAGCAGACAAGCAGCTGGGTCTTTCTAGTACTTGGAGAAATTACAGGTACTGTGTCCTCATTTTGAAGCTCCTTGGTAACTTTCAAGGGTCCTTGTAATTATGTAAAAATCACCCCTGCCACAATGCCCTCCCAAGCAAAGTGGAACTCTCAGAACAGTCTTAATTTATAGATGATGAAATTCCCCAACTGAACCAAACACAGTCCTTATTTTCTTCCATCTGTTTAAAAATACATTTCAAAATCCTTTTAGGGATAGACAGATGAGGGTTAAGAATTGAGATGGCCCAGATTTGCTCTATAACATAGAAGACTCTGGAACATAGACTCTTCATAGCTTCTCTGAAGTAGGCTCATGGGAGGTTTGGGGGAGCCTTTGTTATCCTTTCAAGCCTGTACTTGAGATCTATCTTTATCTTGACCATAACTTCTTACCACATGTTCTGCATACAGTTGTTATTTAATAAGTTGTGGTTTCCAGGTAACTCAACTAGTTAATATGACATCTGATTAGAAAAATAGATTTTTTTAATTACAAAAGAAGTCACTATATTATGAGGTTATCACGTAGGAGAGGACTAACATTTGCTGTTCACATGGTGTGTGTAAGCTATAACTATATTAAAATAAGTGGGCATGCTTCATGGATCATATCATGCCCTGATAATCTGGGTAATACTAGGATTCCATAGTGTGTAAACCATGACACTGATCCTCATTAAAATTTTCTCTTTAATTTTGCAAAAAAATTATTTTCATAATAATCTTCTATTTGTAAACACAAGACGGCCTGTTTCTACACTGGATTTCAAAAGGTTTTCCCTTGAGTCTTATTGTTCTTCCACCCTGCTTCCTCATGGCTTGGTAGAGGAACATGGTACCTTGGCTGTCCACAGCTGGCTCTACCTCAGGTCTAACCACATCTCTCATTCAGATTTCATAACAACCTCCCAGCTGACCTCTCTGTTGTCTGCCCTTCTTCCCCTACAGTCTAAGCTCAAAAGAGAAGCCAGAGTGAACCTTTCAAGGTGCAAGTCAGGTAATGTCACTCCCATGCTCAAAATTCTCTAGTGGCTTCTTAACTTCATCAGAGTAATAATCAAGTTTTTACAGTTATCTTCAAAACCCTACACCATCGGAACACTCCCAAATTTCTCTTTAACTTCTTTGACTTTATCTCATCCTGCTCTTATTTATGCCTTTGCTACTGGTGAGCATTTGGATAATTTCTAGTTCCCTGCTTAATTTTTTGCTGTAGATCTTGTCGTCATCTGACATTGTATATATTTTGCATATTTGTGTGTTATCTATCTTTCCCCCACATCCACCCCTATAATGTGAATTTTCTGAGATCAGAGATTTTCATCTTTTTGGTCACTGCTATATCTTCAGCACCTAGACCAGGACCTGGAACCAAGTGATAGTTCAATAAAATATCTGTTAAATATATTCAAGACCCAGGTTGATAGTGCTTTACCCTGAGTCACACAGGTAGTAATTATTGGAAGTAAGTGATTTAAAACCTAAAACAAAACTTTCACTTGCTTGGTGAGGGTAAGGATAGAGGTCAAAACTGGTGGACATGGTGGGGGAATCAAGAGGCTCTGGCCTTGTGGATGCCTCTCTAACCATAGAAGTGTGCTTTCTTTTGCATCTGAAAGCCCTTGCAGCATGTGATAGTTTTTCCATTGTAAGTCCACAGACATGTCCACACCTCTTCCTATTTAAAGATTTATTTTTTAAAGATTTTATTTATTTATTAGAGAGAGAGAGAGAGAGAGAAGGAACAGAGAGGAGGAGCAGAGGCAGACGGAGAGGCAGACTTCTCGCAGAGCAGGGAGCCCGACATGGGACTTGATCCCAGGACCTTGGGACCATGACCCAGGCCAAAGGCAGATGCTTAACTGCCTGAGCCACCCAGGCACCCCTAGATAATTTCATTTTATAGACCCACCTTCATTATTGCTCAGTTACGTTCCTCACTGTAACACATTGCATTTCCTCAAGATGGCCACAACAGTATCTCTCATCCCACATTCTCTTCATACCATGTGGAGTTGATGCTCTCCCCTCAGTGGGTGAATCAATGTTCGTTAGCCTTGACTATGAACAGATCTTTTATCACAGTAGAAGGGATGCTATATCACTTCCAAGGCTGGACTCTGCAAGTGGCTATAGTTTCCACCTGGCTTTTCTTTGGCATCCTTGCCTTTGGAGTACTGAGCTGCCACTTGAGAAATCTGAGGCTGCTATGCTGTGAGGAAGCCCAAGCCCTACGGGTAGCTATGCATGATGTTCTAGCAAACAGCCCAGTTAAGGTCCCAGCTAATAGTACTGACTATCAGATATATGAAATAAGACACTTACAGATGATTCCTGACCCCCACCCCAACACCACTGATTTATCCCCAAGCTTCTGAGTCTTCCCAGAAGAGGCTCAGTATCATGGTGTAGAGAAAAGCCATCCCGTTACACCCTGTCCTAAATTCCTGACCCACAAAAAAGTGTGAAAGATAATGAAATGATTGTTGTTTTAAACAATTTTTTCTGGACCTCTGTATTCTGAAGTGATTTGTTACACTGTGGTAGCTGTGTGTCTCTGGGGGCAGCTGTCTGCTTGTTGAGAATCAGTCTTAGCACCTGTCACTTCTAAGGAAAAGCCTTTATTTGTGAGTAAGAAAGTTTTTAGAAAACAGCAAAGTATGAGCAATTTTCAATTATTGATTGTAACGGGAAAGCAAAGCATGAGCATTTGAAATCCAGAGCTGTCCTAAAAATCTTCACTCTTTAATTGCAACCATGTCCCTTAACAAAACTCATACCAAAGCTCCTGATTGTCTGAATATTCAATGCATTTATCAGATTTTTCTCCTTATCCACTTGGTGGTAGAGATGCAGACAAGTAATAAATTGGCCAAAAGGCAGATGGTAGAAGAAAATAATGAGAAACAACCTGCAGAATCCACTCACTGAGTATCATTCCTGAATAATAGAGCTATAGCTCTACCTACACACAGAGGCATTCTCAGCCCAGATGACAGACTGTGGATCTCTAATAATGTCTTAAAAGATTCTTTGAAAGATTCATTCTTTAAAATACTGTTTCTATATATATATATATACATGTATATATATATATATATATTATTTTTTTTTTTTTGTAGTCTAAAATGACCACCCTGCCCCCGTTGCCCATGACACGCCCAAAGCTTACATCTTTAGCCAGGCAGAAGCTGCCATGTTCCCCCAGAACAATTCCAAGGTATGTAACCCTGGTTTTCATCTCTTTTTCTATAGAACGAATTTCTTGCAGTAAGAAATGTCAATAGCACATTTCAGAAAACAAAATTGTTCAAAGATAAGAGTATATTATTATATTCAGAATATTCAAATTTGCTATTTCAAAAGGATCAATGAAGCTCATTCAAATACTAAGAATTTATTTAGTAAGCTAGCACTCATTTGATTGTTTTATTACCTATTCTAATTATATCATGGTCCTAGGAAACTTTGGAGATATATTTCCTTTTAAAAACATTAGCGGAGAATTGAAAGCAGAGGCTTTAGGAGTGCAAGGTGTACAGCTTCCAATCTGCAAGGTCCTGAGTGCCAATTTCTGTTATGGAGGGAGGAAGACACCGAGTCACTACTAGGGTAAGTTGGCAGGCCAGATTTAGGTGCTGAAATGATCCTGGGCTAAAAATGCTTCATCACACTGCTGCTACACTAACCAGCTGCTGAGTTCCTAGAGTTGCTGCACGGAAAGTATAGAAGAGAACAATGTGTTTTGTCACAAGTATTAATGAGGATAGTATTATTTAGAAGTTGCCATTTATGGTTTTATTGAGTCATGGTGATGCATATTATTTATTGGTATAAATAATTTACACATGTAGATTTGATTATTTTCTTTATATGCCAAATTTTCCCTTCCGACAAGACAAATGATCAAAGTATTATGAAACTACTTTGTTTTGAGAAGGAACATACTTTATTCTTAGTATTTCTGGAAAGACCAACGTCCCCGAACCAAAATAAATGCATGCAGTTAAAACAGCATGGAAGTTCCCTTATAACAGCAAATCAAAGTTTCTTCTCAAAAAGTTTGAAAAACAAATTTTTTGATGCATGCATAATTTAGGATATACGTATATTCTTATTTTCAGTTTTACTTCTGAATAATGGGGAGTATTTACAAAATCTGAAAAAGCTTGTTCTTCCTGCCTTTTATAATGCTTGAGATTCCATTTTCTTTTCAAAGCCAGCAAAAATGGAGCCCAATCTCACATCTCTAAAATAAGATGGATTTTTTAAAACACTATTTCTTGTATTCATTTTATGGAAGAAAAACACTTTTTTTCATAACCATTTAAGGCAAAGTTTTGTATCAAGATTTTCCAGGGGCACCTGGGTGGCTCAGTTGATTAAGTGTCTGCCTTTGGCTGGGAGCCCGCTTTTCCCTCCCCCTGCCACTCCCCCTGCTTTTGCATTCTCTGTCTCTCTGTCAAATAAATAAATAAATCTTAAAAAAAAAAAAAAGATTTTCCATTACCTTCTGAGTAAAAACAGATGCTTGTTTAGTCCCATACTCCCATTGTTTTGAGATGTTAGTAACATGCTTGTTTTTAAAGGTGTAATGGAGGTTGGAGAAAAAAATACACTACCAGTGTAATAGATTTCTCATTAAAGTCATCTTAAAGTCACTTTTTAAATAATAATTTGAATTTTATGTGTGACTAAAAACCCTCTCAAACAACATTTCAGAGCAAAGTTTGGTAATGTTTGGAATAGATAAATGTTGTATGTTTGTATCAAGCAGGTGTTCTTAGTTCAAAATCCTGGGCCAAACAGAATATGACTTCTGTATTGCAAAATTATAATGTGAAGCAACATGAGCAAAATGGAAGAGCTTAAAAGTTTTGAGGAGAAAACTCCATTTTTCATAAGAATTCATTGATTGTTTTAATGTGTTGCTGATTTGTTTGCATACTGAGTTTAAGCTTCTTCCCTATCTCTTAACATTCAAGAAAATGAAAATTTGGAAATTATTAATCAATAATCTATAGCTACTGTAGAACATTTATTATATATGGTATTATACCTTAAATATTTCTGTTCTCCTGGTAGCATTTTATATATTTGGGAGCTTTTCAACTTGATAAAGCCGTGCTTTATTATTTCTTTCCATTTCATTTAGGTCTCGGTTGATCAAAGAAAAAGATGACATAGATCATTACCTGGAGGAGAATTTCAAAGGATTGTCAAAAGAAGAGGTTGCTGCGTAAGTATAACCTCTTAAAAGTACTTTAATATAAAGTTTGTTTCTTTTGTCTTGATTCTTTATTGGAATTTCAGTTTTCCAGTACAGTACACTTTTTCACTGGAACATGGCATTTAAAAATTAAAGCTCATATTAAATAGTGATAAGTCATGTCTATTGATCTTACACATATCAAAGTCTTTAATTTTATGGCCTTCAAAATTCTCATATTTACCAAGATAATATACTATCACTTTTGCAATATTTTAGTTAAGTCTATGCCATTAATTGCTTATTAACTTCCATTTTAAGGTGTATTGCCTCCATGGGGGAGAAAAAAGCTTTTAGAGAAAGATCATATCTTTTTTCCTAGTGATTTAAAACAAAAATTCTGTACTAATGTACGTTCCTCCCCCCCATAAAAACTCACAAAAAGAATGAATGCAATCATAGTTTATCAGTTGCTTTTTAAATATTTCTAAATTGTCTGGATTTATTTTATCAATGAACATTATAAACTTTGCCATTTTATCCCTAGTTAGAAACTTACGGTTTAACTAAAAACTATAAAAACCTTTGTAGGTTAGTGAGAAATGAGTAAAAACCTAAAATAATAGCTGAACAGATTTAATATTTCTTGCTTATAGACTTTGTGACCATGTTATCATCAGATCTTTAGATGCAGGTATTGAAAAATGGAAATATTATAAATCTACATGCATCTTATGAAACTCATTAAATGATTCAATTAGAATATTTTATACAGAAAATGTTTAAAAAAAAACCAACATCCTCCCAATTCATATTGTCTAGTGCTATGGGAGTCCTCTGGAAGAGTTTTCTTAATGATATTTTGGTATAGTTTTTCATAGAGTCTAAAATTCCAAGTTACTTGATATGTTTCATATCATTAGATATTATCTGTGTCAATTTGCATATAGGGTGGAAAAATAGAATAGTTCATTCTCTCAGTAGCTACTTTATTTTAAAAAGTGATAAAATTTTACAATACCTTTAATCACTGTCTTCCTCGGAACACTATTGACTGCCATGTGTAGTATCTGGGACCTTTGGTTAAATGCTCTGATTATTATTATTATTTTTTTAAACCCTCGGGACTATTTTTTTTTCAAGATTTTATTTATTTATTTGACAGACAGAGATCACAAGTAGGCAGAGAGGCAGGCAGAGACAGAGAGAGGGGGAAACAGGCTCCCTGCTGAGCGGAGAGCGTGATGTGGGGCTCTATCCCAGGACCCTGGGATCATGACCCGAGCTGAAGGCAGAGGCTTTAAACCACTGAGCCACCCAGGCACCCCTGATTGTTAATTTATTAACTTTCCATGGTAACCTGTTGGATAAAATTAAAAGTTAATATTGTCTGATAATAAGGTACTTAAAAGAAAAATATATATAGGTGATATTTTCATTGATTTAAATATAATGATATCCAAGTATCTGTAATTGATTAAATAATTAGATATTAAATTTGGAATTAAACTTATACTTCACATATTTTAACAAGCTAGAAATCCATATACAGCGCTTAAAATCTGTTAAACGTTCAGTCTGCATTGAAGAAAACTTTAAAGCAGTGCAGAATAGGATTTGCTGATGAATATTCTCTTAATATTTTTTTCATTAAAGGTATTACCAAATTGATTTCAAATCCATAATATGCTACAGAAAACAAGTAACACTGGGTAATTCTCCAGCCTTACAATTTCATTCTCCTTAAAGTTTCCTGCAGCTGAATACGTTTTTAGACCAAAGCTAGGATAGTGGATGCAAACATTAGTAGGAAGATAGCTGGTACTTCGCTCACTCTTCTGCTTTTGACTGATATATATTCTAGACTTTGCCACAGACAAACTAATTGAATAGCATGTAAAGGAGAAAACTGATGAATTATTTCCGCACTCTCAGCAATACTCAGCAGGTACCGTGAGGAATTATGCATATTCTGTTAACCAAGGAATTGCTATGTAAAACTTTTTATTAGTCAGTCAACTCTGAAAAGATAAATTGGTCAGCAAGCATTTAAGTGCCTACTTCATATCTAATACCAGGTTTTTCGCAGTGGGAGAGACAGTGATATCTTTTCGTACAATATTTGTCTCCTTGTCTCAATTTGAGATAATAAGATTTATGAACAGGAAAAGAAAACGGGATGCATGAGTGCTGATTGTGTTGTGAAGTGCAGCCTCAAGGTATAGAGGAAATCAGAGAAAACTAAGGTGGTCAGATGAAACCTGCCACGGAAGACAGATTTTGAGTTTGGCTTTCTGTTTGGTGGCATTATAAAGTTACCAAACTAGGACTTCACAGAACCTCAGTATACAAGTGGAAGAAATTGATGAATCAAATTTTCAACAAGAAAAACAATATCTAAGATGTACCTTTAAGTCTGTATATACTGCTTTGTTCTTCTTTTTGACAGTAATATATATTACATATATATAAAGATAGTAAGATGGTTGTATATATGTTCATTGTATAGTTGATAGCCACTAGCTTTGATATCCCGTAGTATGTATGTGGACTCATCATCTAACCCAAAACACACCAGTAGATTTATATGTAAACTCACATCTGTGACTTTCCTTCTATCGAAATAGGTGGAGTTCCTATTCTCCTTTCAGGATGATGCCTCTGCGTGTGCTCTGGATGCCATCCATGCCCTCTTACTTGTTCCGAGACTTTCTCCACATTTAAACATGTTTTTCTTCTACATCATCATTTTCCCTTTCAACTGGATCAATCTCACTAGCATTCATACCTCCTTTAGTATTTCCCTTGACTTCTTATCTGCACGTCCCCCACCCCCACGCAGGTTCTCTCCCATTTTCCTCTACCCTTCATAGCAACCAGAAGCACTGTCTCAGTATTTGCACCCGTTCTTGCATCAATTGACTCTAGATCGGTCGGTGTCTGGTCCCAGAAGTCACAGAAATCTCCCAGTTTAGAGTGACTAACACGTCCATTTTTACCACACACAATGATCACATTTCTGTCCTCATCTTGCTTGACGTCTTCACAACATTTGATAGAGATGAGCGTTCTCTCATTGGTCACTCTGTACCTGTGGCTTCCAGGATGCTATGTTCTATAGTTTTCCTCCAGACTCTGTGCCTCCTGAGGCTGGCTTTCTCTTTGCAAACCCTTAGTGGTGGGTTGTCCTAGGGCTGAGTCCTAGGCCCTCCATTCCAGTGGCACTCCCCCTGGATCTAGTCTTAAGTACAGCAGTACCCTAATGACTATCACATTTATAAATCCAGCCCTGAATTCTCCATTGAGCTCCAAATTTTTATATCCAGCTGCCTCCTTTACATACCTACTTGGGTGCTTAAGACACATTCTAAAATTAATCTGGCCACAAACTGGACTCTTGATTTACCCCTACTTTCCTTCACCTCCCCGACCAAATAATCCCCCACAGTCTTTCCTTAGTTCAGCAAGTGGCACCAAGGCAGCTTTGAGTTGCATGTACCCTGACTTCACCACGCTCCCCCATCTAATCCATCACTATGTTCTATCAGATATAACTCCTAAATATATCCTGTCTTCATCTGCTTCTCTTCATTGCATAACCACCATCATCCCTTGCCAAGATCACTAGAATAGTCTCCCAGCTGCTCTTCTCCTATCCCCTCTAACTCTGCCAAAATTCAGCCTCCAGAGTCATCTTTTGAAAAAAATTAGATCATGACACTCACCTGCTTAAAACCCTCTGAGAGCTTTCCAAGTTCTAAGGTGTATCATGGTTTGGACTTTACTGTGCATGATTTGGATTTCCCTGACCTCTCTGACTTTATCTCCCATTTTCTCCACTACTCCTCCTTTCACTGTGGCCTTATTGCTGACAATTTCTTGTCCTACAGTGTTAGTCATCTTGAATGTGACCTCTTTAGTCTGCCATTCCCTGACCTCATAATCCAGTAGCCCTCATCCCACCTCTGTTTACTCTCAGCTAAATCATCTGGCTCTATTTCTGCTGAAACTTGGTCTCCCTCTTGCACTGGGAGCCTGCATGTCAACTGTCTTCATGCCCAGCAGAATGGGTCTGCACAGGAACAGAGCCATGTCTCTGTGTACCCTGGCACATGGTCGGAGCTTAACACCTGCAAGTTAAATGAATGAATGAGGGGAAAAAAAGGTCATACTGACACCATGAAATAGGTTTCCCGTTGTGATGATTCTTTGGTTACAATATTTTCATCTGGTTTGAATACTGAATCATAGCAGCTAAATTCCTCAAAGAAGTGTTTTATGTATACAAGTAGGGGTATAAAATTTAAACAAGTAATTGAGCACGACAAGCTAGAGTAGTTGTTCCTGGGGTAGCCAAACCCATTGATGGGGGATCATTTTACTTTGTAGTGGGTAAAGTAGTTCCTAAGCAAAGGGTTTCTGGGTTTTTAATTATCTACGTTTACAGAAGAATTTCAGTATGCTTCATTCCTTTTTAAGCGACTGGGTTATTTGTGTGCCTACTAGGTATATTTCCCCCCACCTTTTGTACTCACGTACAATATAATTGACATTGACAATTTGACTTTCTTAGATAAATCTTCAAATAGTTCATCGATAGTGTTTGACTGACTTTTAACCACTGAAAGATCCTATTGTGGTTTTGTACTTTGTTTTTTATTCTGTCTTATATTGTCAGAATATCATATTTTTTTAAAGGATTGAAAATGTCACTTATTATCATATTGTAATTGCTTTGAGTAGCTAAGTAATTAAAGTATCGTTTGTAGATTCAAAGAAAAATTTCTGGGGGGCAGTTTTTACAGCTTCAGCTGTGTATTTGAGGATACAAATAAACAAAATCATCAAGGGACCGAAAATGCTAATCTGCTCAGTATTACTTTCTGCTGCAGATATCACATTCTATTATGTGGAAGAATAGGTTTAGTTCAAAACTGTGCATCTCTTGGATACTGCTTTCTTGCAGAGCACCTTTCAGCATCATCAGCTGAAGTGTGCTAAGCATGACTTTGTCAGCACAGTGGCAATTA